ATATGAGTATCAAATTTTTTTGTAAATAAAAATAATAATGATCAAATAAAATTAATATTTAAAATCTATAAAAATAAAAAGAAATTATTTCAAATAAAATCTCAATTCTATACCAGATGTTGAAATAATAGTTGGAGCCGAATTAGGGTGACCCATCCATTCCATTTATTTGACCGAACTCTGACGGTTGTAAGGTGGGTCCCAAATGAGGAAAAACTTTCATGGCCGAATCCTCGTGGAGAATATTGATTGGATTTACTGTTCATCTTAAAAATTCGTTCGGCCGTTTTTGTCGTTTCTTTTGTGTTTTTTAGTTTTGTGAGCACTATTTATTGGATTTAGAAAATTTTCGTGGCCGAATCCGAGTTTTGAGCAGAAATGCACTATGCGGCGTTCTTACAATAAATAAATAGTTAGCGGGAGTCGAAATTCGTAATGTCACGTCTAACGTCTTAGCCATTTGAAACGAAAAGTTAAAGCCTAAGAACCCGCATTAACTTGCGGGAAATGGAATATTGTATATTCCGAAGAGACATAAATAAAATAAATTGCTCTGTTGACGTATTTAATTAACATAAATAAAACAGTTTTTTATAAAATAAACTTTGCACTAAAAAATTATTTTATAAAGCAATTCAAAAACAATCCTAAATGAAGTCTGAATTTTTTTTAAAGTTATTTGTAAAATTATGACAATAATTTTTTTAATTATTAAAAACATTATAATTTAAATAATAATAATAATAATTTTTATATGTAGTGTAGATATACTCGTAGATAAATACACATATTATATATTTGTTGCATCCTGAAAAGTTTACAGTGATAAAGAGTGATGTATTTTAGTATCTTTGCTTTTTACAAAGATTCAACAAACAAATAAATAAATAAGAAAGTTGAGCGTTTATAAGAGACAAGAGTTTTTATGTGGAACTCCTGAAAAGGAGAAAACCCACAATGTCTGGCCCAGTTTGAATGAATACACTAGAGTTTTGCAATTAATTACAAAAGATACACTTCCTTAAGAGGAAGACCTTGACTCAATGCAGCAAATATACACCATACATAGTGCATTATATGTCGGGAAATGGAAGAATCAGTTTTGATATGTTTGTTTGGGCAGCATGATCATAGTCGGCAAGCAATGTAGGTCGGAAGGACCGTAGTTGGACGACGGGGGTCGGAAGGACTGTAGTCGGGTGGTGGAGGTCAGGAGGACTGTAGTTGGGCGATGGTGATCAGAATGACTGTAGTCGGCGAGAGACGATGGTCAGAGGATCGTAGTCGACGGGCGACGGAGGTTAGACGAATTGTAGTCGACGAGCGACGGTGATCGGATGGACCATAGTCGGCGAGAGACGGAGGTCAGAAGGATCGTTCTTGGCAATGGTGGTTAGAAGGACTGTAATTGGCTAGCGATGGAGGTCGAGAGGATCATAGTCAAGGGAAAAAAGTGGTCGGAAAGACCGTAGTCGACTTGAGATGGATATCATAATGATCGTAGTTGGCAGGCAACAGAGGTCAAGAGGATTGTAGTTGACGGGCGACAATGGTCGCATGTACCATAGTTGGCTAGCGATGGAGGTCATAAAGAATCGTAATTGGCGGGAGACGGATGTTGAAAGGATCGTTGTCGGGCAACGAGGTCAGGAGGGCCATAGTTTGATCACGGTGGTCGGAAGGATCATTATCCACTGGCGATAGTGGATAGAAGGACCATAGTTGGCGGGCAACTAAGGTCAAACGAATCGTAGTCGGTGGACGATGGTGGTCGGATGGACCGTAGTCGGTGGGAGATAGAGGTTAGAAGGACCGTAGTTGGCGATGGTGGTCGGAAGGAATCCCGACTGTGATCAACGAAAGGGAAGAAGTTCGGTAGTGGCCAATAAGAACTCTGCCGGTGGTCGACGAACGGGCAGAAGTCGGGCAGTGGTTAGGAAGAACTCCTATAGTGGTCAATAAAAGGGATGCTATCAGGAAGAACTATAGCGGTGGTTGACGAACGGGCAGAAGTCCGATGGTGGCTGTTGACCTCATTTTTGTATGAGGTCACTCGGGCCAATCCTAAACCCTAGATCTATCCAGACCTTAAAGATCAATTTAGATTCCAGATCAATCCAGACCTCAAATCAATCCTGACTCTAATTCAAACCTGATCTCAATTCAATCCAATCTTTAATCAAAATCCAGACTTCCATCCAGTTCAGACTCCAAACTTCAGCCTGTATCATACCTTTGATCTAACATCAATCATATCCAATCAATTATGATCATTCAAATGATCATGAAGGATTTAGAAAAGAACTCCATCGATGGTTGATGAATAGGCAGAAGTTCGGCGGTGGTCGATGAATAGACAGAAGTCCGGCAATGGCTGGTAAGAACTTCGGCGATGGTAAACAAATGGGCGAAAGTCCGATCGACGTGGCCAGGAAGAACTCTGGCGGTGGTTTTCCGCGAGGAAACTTTCAAATTCTTGACAGTTTATTGGCCGATATTGATCAAGGTCATAATGGGAGTGGTTTGGATGGATGGTTGATATTGATCGTCATGATCATGGGCAATTTATTGGTCATTTGGATGTCTTAATGATATCACAATTTGGTGATATTGGGCTCCTTGGATTTGTCTCGTCGAGCGGCCACTCGATTCGATTATAATCATATCACGTTTAGAATTTGTTTGGTAATCCAAATTATGGTTTGAACATTCCAAAAGTGCTTTGAGTCTTCGATTTGGACTCATTCGAGCTCGGATTGAGTCGAACTTGGTGTTATTGGGTTTGTCTTTTCAAGATGTTCAATTCAACTATAAATTTGTTGAAATCAGAGTTTGTTTGGTCCCAAATTTAATTTCGGAAGCTTTCTAACTCAATTTTACCTCGAGATTCGTATCTGGTCAAAATAATTTTTTTATGATATATCAATATTGGTTAATATAAAATTAAATTGGAACAGTATATCTTATTTAATGAGAAATGGATGGTGGAGATCGATGGTGTCTAAGACCACAAACTCTAAGCTAGAGCTATTTACTTTCTCCTCCTACACCTCATGCTATGCTTGACCTTTTCTATTGATGGATCTGTCAATCCTGAGTGATGGATTAAGATTTAATAGGAAGATGATGCGCCTAAACAAAAGATCTAGAATAAGGTATGGCGTGTTGTACTAAAAAATGAGCAAACATAGTGAGTGGATTAATGATTGACGGAGGTTACCAAATCAAAACTAATGAATAGTCAATTCTTGGTGATCATTATCCCAGCCAATTTTTATTCTAGATTTTAGTAAAGCTTATATATCTATCACATTAAAGAAAGTTCTAAAGAAGCTGAAAATTAGCTCTGAAGCTTCTAAAAGAGGGCAGAAGTGTTTTGAATAGCTTAATTTTATGTTTTATATTAAGAATATTGATGATTGATCTCATCTCTAAAAAGTTTTTATCACTATGAACTTCCCGTCATAAGTGTGGTCAATTAGTGATCTAGCCTAATTGACATGGGTTGGCCCATACTATAATTAATGAGAGACTTCAAAATTAAAAGACTGGTATGGGTTAATAACAGACCAAGGTACCTAACGAACAACATAATAGATAAAGATTATAGAAATTTTTTGACCAATTTATAAAAAATATTTGGGTTGTTCAGATTTGGATAACATGGGTGAACCAACCTATGTTGGTCACCAAAGTCCTTAGGTCTCTTATGAGCTTACTAGCTCAAGGAAATAATAGATGCGTACATAATTGATTCAACTTGAAGATCCCATGATTGATGTAAAAAACTGACATAGTTATCTTAATATTGTCACATATTAATTACAGGGTAATTGAAATAAGTCTTAGTGTCATGTATTGATCACAGTAGTTCAACAATAGTTCATAGTCTCAATCTGATATATAGGAAAGCCACAAAACGGTGTAGGATAATTCCAATTTAATTCAACATATGAAGCTCAAAAGTTGACGGATAATAATTCAACGGTTTATACCACCACCATTCCTTCATGCTTTGTTTATGACAATTTTTTTACCGTTTTGATAATAGACAGCTATCACAATTTTTATTTGACTATTAATTTTTTTTTGGAAAAAAATTACTTTTAAGTGAACATCATAAAAATTATTTTTCTCACAACTTTATAATCATAAGCTCGAACTCAAGCTGATCTCAAAAGGCAAGCACGAGCTCGGCACGTGCCTCCGAAATCGAGCTCATTGAGAGACTCAATTTTGCAATTCGAGCTCCTATTTTGCAACCGCGGCTCCTCCTAAGCGCCCCCCACCCCGAAAAATAATTTTTGTGTCCGAGCATGGCATCTACGTTCGAGTTTGTGGCTCGCCCAACAATTCGACCTTCCACATTGGAGCCCATCCCACAATTCCACCAGCCCGCGTCTCAATTTTACGCTCAGAGTAATCGAGAAGAGCATCTTGAGGAGCAAACTAGAGCTCGATAATCTAATTTTACACTCGAGCAGTAAAATTCTACTCGAGCTTGAAACTCGATAAAAGCTCTACTCACGAGCATGTTAATGAGTTAAGCTCGAGCCAGCTCAAGATTCAATTTGACTCGGTTACGGCCCTAACTGCAATCGTAAAAAATAGGAGAAATTATTCTGTGTGAAATCCAAATAAGCATCGCTCGGACTGTCCGAAAAGAACCATCAAAATTATAAGTATACACACACTATATACATAATTACATCTGTGTATACACAGTATGTACAACATGTGTACACTCACATGTCCGAACAGTTCTTTTTATTTGTAGAAACTAATACAGAGAAGAAGAAGAATAAAGATTTTATTATCCAGTCTCTGATTCCATGTACAGGGATAAGTACTTATAGAGCATTATTAGGATACAGAGAACGTATTTACTAAATAGCCATTAGGAGTAAATATAGAGAGATATAAGTATGAGCTGGGCTATTCTAACATTATTTAGACTCCCGACAGAATAATTTCACAAACAGACCCTTAACAGCAACATATATAATAAGCCCATACTAATATCGTAATTATGATGTATAATAATTTCAACAACAAAAAAAACCATCCCATATACATATTTTAAATTACTCCAAATACTTAATTTGCGAATGGAAATATCTAATAACTTCTAAAACAAACATCTTACACAACTATTTTTCCAGTAATAATACAGGATAGAAATTCACATAACGGTGCAGGCGTTCGGATTTTCATCGCTAAAAGCCGCGGAATACGTCTCCTCCGTCGACGTCGCACGCGCGAGCGGCGCAAGGTTGGGGTCGGCCACGACGTTTCGCACGTACCCCGGCGGCGCCTTCTTGTCGTAAGCGCCCTGCACGTAAGGATGGTAGACCATGTCGTAAGGCACGTAGGGCCATGGCTCCGCCATCTTCCCCGTCCTATACCTCACCCTCTGCAACACTTTCTTAGGGTCGACGTAGCCCGTCACAGTCAACTTGTGCTTCTTTGGCTCCACCTCCACCTTACTCACCCCCTTCATCCCCTCCACTGATTGCCTCACCCTCCTCTCACAACCCTCGCAGTCCATCTTCACTTTTATCTCCACAACCTGCAATTTTATTTCAGCCATGAAATACGCTCTTAATATAAAAGAATAATACAGATCCTTCTTCATTAACTTCATATAGCAAAATTTATGTACCTGGAAATGCTTCTTCTTCATCTTCTTGCGTTGGCTATGGTGGTCTCCTATGGCGGAGCAGAGCTCGGAGGCTAAGGACATGAAGCCCATCTTTATTTCTTTGGAAGGAGAAACAGTACTGAGACTGTCAAAGGTCCACTCTGTTAGTTGCAGTGCAAAGTTAGGAAGATGAAGCAGCGAAGGGTGCTCTTTATAATATGGAAGTAAGGAAGGTGACCCGATACGACGAAGTACACGTGGCAGTAACACGAAGTCGGCAACGCAGCTTTGTTTCTGCAAACGATAAATAAAAATATTGAATGCGGTGCATTCTACCCACACTTCACTGTTAGTCGGTCACCGCGCGCCACGCGGAAATATTGCCACGTGTTTAGTTATGGTTCGGTGGATGGAAAGTGGTCGGATTTCTGGTGTGAAAAGAGAATGATTTTATTGTATCATTTTCCTTTCAGTCGCTTCAACTAGGAAAGAGAATGTGGGGGGCGGTGGAGGAGAAAGGAGGGAAGTGGGAACGGGGAACCGAGAAAACCATTATTTATGGGCAAGTTTTTGTCAGAAGGTTTTTTAATTGTCATTTGATACTTTCTTAGAAAGATCCATATCCTTCGGAATGATTTTTTATAATGATTTTTGGGTGACTTAATCAGTAAGATTGGGCGTTATGATTACATTAATTACTTAAAATAATCATAATAAGACAATTAATTTTTATTTATCAATTTCCTCGAAAAAATGAAGGATTATTATATCATAGGCTTAACGGTGCGTTTTCCCAAAATCATTTTAAAAACTTTGTATTGAAAATTTTTAATGTAAATTGTATCAACCAAATTTTAAAAATTATCTGATTAATTTAAATATTGGTGATATCTATATTATGTTATTAGTATTTCTCATCCTTATAAATGATGTATTTTTTTAAATTAGGAATGTATTGATATAATATAGTAAACTTAAACTATATGTAATGATTTACATGACGAAAGTTAGAAAAGTCTAGTGGCATAACAACTATCTTCGATCAAGAGTCATTTATTTCTTGTTTTATCGTTTTCTTTGGGGGGGGGGGGGAATTAGAAATCAAGAAGCTCATGATTAATCTTAGTGTTAATATGGAGAGTCGAAATTGATGTATACAACATGCATTGAATGTATAGACAATAACATGCATTGACAATGTTAGTGACAATATGTGACAAAGTTAGTGTGGATGTCACTATAACAAGGCAAAAAAAGATTATAATAATGTTGGTTGGTTGGACGATCATAGTTCAACAATGTTGGTCAATGAATTGCTGTTAGCAAAGGAGGTCAAATGACCGTAGGCAGGTGATAGAGTGCAGAGGATCATAATTTAGCGATGCTAGTCGATTCTTAGTGGGCCTAAGTAGTGGGAGGACTGTTGTGGGGCAATAGTGGTGAGAAGGATGATAGTTGAAAGAAACATAGTTGGGCAACGATGGTTAAAACAATCATAGTAAGATGATGGCAATTGGAGGACCAAGTAGGACAATAGAGGTTGAAGGATCGTAGTCAAGTAAGAGAGGTCAAAGCATCATAGTTATAAAATGAAGGTTGGAGAACTGTAGTCAGGTGATAATTGCAGGAAGAACATAAGTAAGCAATTGTGGTTAGAAGGAGAGTATATGGGTGATGGAAGTCGAAAGGATCATAGTCAAGTAGTCAAACTATGATGGATGGAGGATTGTAGTTAGCTCATAGACGTTGCAGGACTGTAGTTAAGATGAGTTTACAAAAAATTCAGATCTCAAATATTAATGAGACTTTCATTCTCCATATGAAAGAGATCGAACTTGAGTTTGGAGAGATCACTAGGTCTAAATAACTCTAAAGTTATGTTTGAAATTTGATGTTGACAATCAATACCAACTATTACAATCTCCTTACTTTCATTATCTAACATCCATTGCTTGACTTACGTCTGCCAATATGACCATTGTCACAAGATAATTATAATCCATTAACTATCATTTCATCATCATTTAAGTCTTCATCACTATCATTTCATAATCTTCGTTGACTAACACCATCCAATTTTTATTTCAACGTGCTACCACACATTAATAGAAAATATAAATTTGTATTACATATTTTGTACGTTATTTCTCCTTCTTTAATCGAGAGGAAGAGCGAATTCTTGTAATATATATGTACAATTGATCATTTAACCTAAGCCATGGCTCATGATTTTAAATATTTTTTTTGGATTTTTCACATAAAAATTCTTAGGACTACTAAATTATTTTATTGTTATATCTTTGAATGTATTGAATATTCATAAAAATGTAAGACAAAAAATTACATATTTTATAGTATATAATATATATGTGTGTGGCGTGAGAGAGAAATTTAATTTGTACTACACAAATCTCAAAGTAAATTAAAATATTTTTAGTGCAACTTGATATCATTTATATAAGGTCATTCATCCAACAAAAAAAAAAAAAACTCCATTTTCTACTCTAAAACTGCCAGTATCTCATCTTGAACCAAGCTTTATTTCTTAACACCAAAAAAGAATATTTTATCTGTATTCTTTGTCATATTTTTTAAAGTTATTTTTAATTTTATTACTCATTTTGTTTTTTTGTTGTCACAACTTTTTATGTATTTTGATTTTCATTTTTTAATTTGTAGAATAATTGTATTATTCAATATCCTTTAAATTTATATGGAGATTTTATCTTAATTTGTATATTAATTAAATTTATTAATTTTTCATTATTTAAAATGAATAACAAAATTTAAATAAATTAATTATATAAAAATATTAACTTTTAAAAATAATGCATTTATAAATTAAATTAATTTTGAAAAATTAATAGTAAAGAACATACCCTCAAAAAATTGATAAATAACCTACATCTAATAACCAAATTTTCTAATTTTTTTTTCAAAAAAAAAAACAATGATGAATAGTGCGACGTCAAAATTGCGCTATCACATACACGACCAACATCATTGAACCATTGCACTTATTCTAGAGATTTCACAAGCTTATGTCAAAAATAAGTTTCGCCGCACTTAAGCAACGAAGTTGTTTAGAAAATAACTCATTCCTTTTTCAAATCCTTTGTTTTTTATGAGACTTAAGTTTTATTTGGGACTATTTTTTTATTATTTTTTAAAATTGAGTTTTATATAAAAATTTTACTAAAACTTTATTTAAAACAGAACTTTAGTAAAATAAATAAATTTTAATAAGCAGTGCTCGCTTATTCCCTCATGTACAACACCTCCTAGAACGCAACTCTTCCTCGGATTCTGCTCACGATGAGATATTTATAAAGATTATAATTTTAGACAAATATTTCCAAGATTTTGTTCTTAAAATAATGGTTTAATTTAAAGAACAAAAGAATGATCTGCAATCTATTTATAAACTTTGGAAGGGGATAATTGATCTAAGCAAAACAATTTCTATTGGTCCTTTTAGCGGGTCGTACACCACCATAAATAAAATATTTAAAAATCACTGTCATGCCATAAAAATATGATGGATATATCGTTTGGTGGAAATTTAGGGTATGATGAAGATATAGTTGAGATAGAACAGACCATTACTTTTAGTGGAAATTAAATTTATTGAATTATATATATTTTTTTATGTATGTTAAAGAATATTAATTAGTGCTCCTAACACATCTCATGAAACACTAATATCTATGTTATAAAACTTGTAATTCATTTGTAATATATTCATTACACAAGACCAAAACTTATCATTAATCATTGGTCATTTTTTGAATGTTAGAGTGTCTTAATGATGTTAAAATTAAATGATTTGATTAATCGAGACATTCAATTCTTCTAATGTTTTTTTTTTTTTTTTTTAAATTTGAGTTTGAATAGTCATAAATTTAATTTCAAAATTTTCCAAGTCAAAGATTGCATCGAGATTCATGCTTGATCAAGTGGTATTTGCATAGCAGTGTCAAAATGGATTTTTGAGTCCAACTCGGAATTAACCGGATTCAGCTCACTTGACCCGAAGCTGACCCAACTAGATAAAAGAGTCATAAGACTGTACCTAAATAAACCGCGCCCCAACTTGAAATGAGCCAAACTGCTGACTCGTTTAAGTGCGATGGGCGATCGAGCGCAGACGATCTAGCGGGTGAAAGCACAATGAGCGTGATGAGTGCAACGGGCGAGATGGAAGAGTTTTATGTTGCTTTTGGGTTAACTTGAAACCAAAACCCGAAATTACAATCGGATCAAAGTATAAAACTCAAACCTGACTCGTTTTCCAAAAAGGGTGACCTAGGCCTAAAATATTTGGGCCGCACATATTGTATGTTCAATTAAAAAAAAATTGTATGTTTAATGGATAAAAAGAGTGAGACATCAGTGGAATACTGCGTGCTAAAAGAAATGGGCCGCTTACACGGCGAGATAGAGAGTAAAAGGCCCATTTTAGACGGATAGACCGCCATTTCTATGAACATGAAAGTGCCATTACGTTACTGAAATTCACATTAAATTTTTTTTCTCTCTATAATGGCGAGCTTCAAATAGATTAAAAACTAATGTCAAATTGGAAAATCCAGATCCTCTCAATTTACTTGTATTACTATATAATTATTATTTTTTTAATCACACATATTTAAAAAGAGTAATTCAATAATTAAAAATAAATAAATTGATTGACAGAAGAATATTATTTGATTTTGACAAAATATATTTTGAAATCAATGAAAAAAAAAAACATTGACTAAAAGTTTTCCGGAATGAAACCTAAATCGTAATGTAGATTGAAGCTTTTTACAAGTGAATGGAATGACGACGTGAACTTTTTTACAACTTTTTTACAATTAAGAAACTAATTACTTGTTTTCTTTCTAAAATATGATGCTCCAATATTGATAAGTATTTGAACCAACCACACCTCGTAATAGAGATTGTGCCCTAATTCTTTTGAATTTTAAGACAGTCAAATTACTCTTATAAATCTAGAGGACATTAGCATCCTCAAAGATGTTTAACTTAATAAAAAAAATGTTTAACTTTATATCATCTTATGTATCTAAAGATATAATATTGGCTACAATATCAAGTGCATATCTCACCCCAAATCAAAAACTTAGTCACACCCACGGGTGGAACCAGGAAGAGCTTAGGATGGTCTG